CCAAAACCCTTTTCTTTTTTCCTAACACAAAAGGAATACACAAACCTGAATAAAGCTTTAATCTTTGGGCTTTTAACCCAACCCTATTTTAGCTAAAATTCATATTAAACATCTACATGCAATTATTATTGATGGGTATAGTTCTTTTACCTATATTCTTGTTAAGATTGTTGATGAATTGTATGCAATGTTACTGTATTAGTTATAAGATTTTATGAATTGCTTGTGGCACAGTTAAGGCAAAGTTTAAGTGGGGATTTTAGTGAGGGCAATTTGTGGTTGTGTTTAGAGATGGTTACATTGTTTTTAGCCTATTGAGCTTGTTTACTAGTGGAAGAACCATTAGTGTCTTTTAGATAGACAATGTGAGCAAGCTTATACATGCAGAGTTAGTATATATACTCAGTGTAAAAATAAAAATAAGGACACATACAAATTGAAGTACTATATATTGGAATCTACCTGCTTTAGAAAGAACCCAATTGTTGCCATAGACAGGTGTCCAAAAAAAGTAACCACCAAAACCCTGAGCTTTAGCAAACTTAATCTTAGTTGTAAACTTGTAATAGATCTAATGTCATCATATCCAATCCAACTTGTCCCTGCATATGAATATGTTGAAACTGTACCATTATCATGCACAACTTTGGCATTATTTTGTGTATTGAAATTGACTATATCATCATATGACAATATTCCATTAGTTTCCAGGACCAATTCCAACTGCACGTGCTCCAATTCCATGTTCATTTGGATCTTTCAATTACCATGTCCCCCCATATGAGGGCAACCCCATAATTATCTTTTTTAATGAACCCCATTTTGTTCCCATGATGAAATTCCATAACTTGTACTAATATTGCTAGAATTGGCATATAACAAGACAGGTGAAACAGTCCCTGAAGTTGTCACGATCCCAATTTATCCTCTGTAGATTGTCGTGATGACATCTAATTTGTAAGACTAGATAAGCCTAATAATTTGCGAAAATACGTAAAATAAAACTGAAGCTCAATTCTCAACATATGAAATAAATATAAAACTCCAATTTAATAATTTCAACTCCCGAAATCTGATAGAAAGAAGTCACAAACATCTAAGAATTTATTCTGAGTGTCTCAATACATCAGAGTTCAAAGAGAAATCAGGAAGACAACATATTAAGAATACAGGGGGACTCTGAGGTCTGCGGACGCTGGCTATATACCTTGAAGTCTCCGTGTACAGCTAGTTCACTGATACCTGATTTGATAGAAAGTACCTGGATCTGCACAAAAAGATATGCAGAAATGTAGCATGAGTACACCACAACGGTACCCAGTAAGTGCCAAGCCTAACCTCAGTAGAGTAGTGACGAGGTCAGGTCAGGCCCTATGAAAATAATAGAAGAGTAAGACAGAGGATATAATAATATAACGAAATGACTTAGAAGTGAACAACATAGCAAATAAAGGTAAATAACATGGGCGCTCCCGAGGAACCACCTCGTAGACCCAAAAGTAAATATGTAGTATATGGGGAGCTTCCGAGGAACCGCTTCGCAGTCCCAAAAGTAAATATGCAGTACATAGGGATCTCCCGATGAACAGCCTTGTAGTCCCAAAAGTAAATATGTAGTACATGGGGATCTCCCAAGGAACTGCCTCGTAGTCACAAAAGTAAATATGTAGTACAGGGGGATTTCCCGAGTAACCACCTCGTAGTCCCAAAGTAAATATACAATAGATATCCGAAGAAAATAACGAATTTACAACAAGAATCTCACAGTTAAAGATTTAAATCAAATCAAATAAGCAGGTAATTCAGCTAAGCATGTTGCACATATTGCAAGTAAGAGTTAGGGCACGTAGACATGTGATACTAGACTAAACATGATCACTACATAGACTAAACATGATCACTACATATACTAAAATAATTTAGTTAAAGAATTTAAAAGAAGACTACTCGGCAAGAACCGATATTTTCAAATTTAGCCCGTATACGCACTCGTCACCTCGCTTACACGGTGCTCACATATCACAAAATGTTACAACAGTATCAAATTCTAAAGGAATTTCCCCCACACAGGGTTAGACAAGCCACTTACCTCAAGCCAAGCTCAATCAGTCAATAAGAATGCCTTTCCCTCGATTTTCCGACTTCAATCGGCTCGAATCTAGTCACAATTAATTTTATTCAGTTAATACAAATTATAGAAATTAATTCCATATGAAATAGATATTATTCAATAAAAAGCTAAAATTTAACTCAAAAATCGCATGCGGGAACCACGTCTCGGAACCCGACAAAAATTATAAAATATGAACGCCCATTCAACCACGAGTCCAACCATACTAAATTTACCAAATTCCGACATCAACTCGACCTCCAAATCTCAAATTTTTATTTTGAAATCCCTATGCCCAAATCTTCTAATTTCACCTCAAAAATATGTAATCTAGTCGAAATACTCAATGATAATTCAATATTATTGACTAACAATGATCATAAGTGACTTAACTCAAGTTTTCCCATGAATTCTCTCTGAAAATCGCCCCAAAACCATGTTGAAAATGTCCAAAAATGATAAAACCTCGAAACCCTCTATTTTTGTACACTACCCAAAGGTTCCGCTTCTGCGGAATTTTTAACCGTATCTACGGTTTCACTTTTGCGGTAACTATCGCGGCTTCTGCGACAGCCTTCGCTTCTGCGGACTCACTTCTGTGATGAAGCGTCCGCTTCTGCGGTCCAAGACCTCCTTAGCCCAGGCCGCATCTGCGACCATTGCATCGCTTCTGCGGTCGTGCTTCTGCGACGCCTCATCCACTTCTGCGGACCATCTGCTTCTGCGATGCCAGGCTTGCTTCTGCGAACTCGCACCTGCGAGCCAAATTCCGCAGGTGCGATTCCATTAGATTACAAAAAGTTTCCAGCTTTGTTCTAAGTCCAAATTTCGATCCGTTAACCATCCGAAACTCACCCGAGGCCCCCCCGGGACCTCAACCAAATATACCAACAAGTCCTAAAATATCATACAAACTTAGTCGAAACCTCAAATCACATCAAACAACAATTAAACCACGAATCATGCTCCAATTCAAGCTTAATGAAACTTAGAAATTCTAACTACTACATTTGATGCCAAAACCTTTCAAATCAAGTCCAATTGACCTTAAATTTTGCACACAAGTCATAAATAACATAACGTGCCCATTCAAATTTTCAAAATCGGATTCCGACCCCGATATCAAAAAGTCAATTCCCCGGTCAAAATTCCAAACTTAAATTTCTATTTTAGCCATTTCAACCTAAATTTAACTACGGACTTCCAATTAACAATACAGACACGCTCCTAAGTCCATAATCACCATACGAAGCTATTGGAATCATCAAAATTTTATTTTGGGGTCGTTTACACATAAATCAATATTCGGTCAACCCTTTCAACTTAAGTTTTAAACCTTGGAACTAAGTGTTCCAATTCATTCCAAAACTTCACCGGACCCGAACCAATCACCCCGGCAAGTCACATAACAACTATAAAGCATAAAATGAGCAGTAAAATGGGGGAA